GTAAGCCTCAGATTCAGTGAGGAAAAAAAGAGAGTGAGACCATGTCTCAGAATAAGGTGGAAGATTCCAAACGTAGATGTCTGCACACTCATGTATGGGTGAGTGCACCTGCATACATTCTCTCTCTCTCTCTCTCTCTCTCAATAAACTAAGGCACACATAAGAAAACGTGTATGTCCAAAAGAGGATAACCACAAAGTGGTAAATAGTACAACGTAGGTTTTGTGTTCAAGATATTTATAGGTTTTATTTACTAAGTTAAATCTGCATGTTAACAACAAAAAAATTGGTGAACATGGTGGTGCTCACCTTTAATCATTGAGAGGCAGGCCCATCTCAATGAGTTTGAGGTCAGCCTAGTCTACATAGAGAGTTCCAGGCCAACCGGGTCCTCCATGCTGTAGGGATGAGAGACCTTTGGGAGATTTGGTCCTTGTAGCTCTATGAATGGATTGACCCACTAATGGATTAAATGGGTTTTCATGGAAGCAGCTTTGATATATGAGCTCTCTGACACACTCAGGGTTTAACCACACGATTGATGTTTTCCATATAAGAAAGCCCTCACCAGATACCAAACCAGTACAAATGCCATGCTCTTATACTTCTCAGTCTCCATAGCAATTAATTAAATCAATCTCTCTCTCTCTCTCTCTCTCTCATTTTAGCAATTACCCAGTCTCAGGTATTTTGTTATAGCAACACAAAATGTATTGAGACAAGAATTACAGATGAGAAAGTCAGTGATTATGTTAATGTTGCTAAAACCACAGAGTTGTAGGGTGGGAGGAAGAGACAAAGATGGTTGGGAAGGATAGAACAGAGGAGGAATGAGACTAAGAAAGCATCATGCAAGATGAATATAGTATGAGAGTGATGAGAAGCTGAGCTGGGGCTGGAGCAATGGCTCAGTGGATAAGAGCATGGGCTGTTCTTGTAGAGGATCTTGGTTCAGTTCCCAGCACCCACATGGCAGCAAGCAACTGTCTGTAACTGCAGTTCCAGGGGCTCTGACACCCTCTTCTGGCATCTTTAGGCATTGCAAGACATGGGGCACTTACATATATGCAGGCAATACACTCATACACATAAAGTAAAAATGCAATAAAAAAGAAATTTAAAAACAGAAGCTGAACTGTATTTTTGACAGATCCACTGCCTGGTTTCTTTAAATCTTGCTCACTTAATAGCCTATCACTTCCTAGTTCTCTCAAAATCAGTGTGTTCTGCCGGGGCCTTGGTAACTTTCATAACATCTTGGTTTTTGTCATATTCTTCTGATTTAGTGCTATTTGTTATTACTTTATGTTATATATTAAACAGTTTAAGTTGAGACTAAACATTTCAGTGGTGGGGGGGGTATGTATATGGTGGTTAAAGGGCACAAAGCTTCATGTAACTTCAGATGAACATGTTCTGGAGGTCTATTACTATGGTGACTATAGTTGATAATAATGCACTGCACACTTGGAAATTGCTAAAGAAGTAGATTTGAAATGTTCTTACCACCCAAATGATAAGTATATGAAATTGTAGGTATATCAACTAGTTTGATTTAATAATTTCACTATATATATATATATCATGATCTACATGATAAATATATGTAATTTTTATTTGTTAAGTATACTTCATTAAAGCTTGGGAGAAATGAAATACTGATTCCAAAAATAATATTTTTAAACATTTTTTATTATTGTTATTATTATTATTGTGTGTATGATGTGTGTGTGGGTGTATGCATGGCACCATGTGCACATGGAGAGCAGAGGCAATTCTGTGGAGTTGGTTCTGTCCTTCTACCTTTATGTGGGTTCCAGAGATTGAATTCAGATCGTCAGGCTTATACTGCAAGCATTTTACCCACCTAGCCTTATCGATGATCTATCTAAAAAGAATCTGGTTTTTAAAAGATTACCGTAATTTGTGTGTCTGTGTGTCTGCCACATACATGTGCACAGGTGCCACAGGGACCAGAAGAGGGTGTTTGTTCCCCTGGACCACCAGTTAAGTCACCGGCAATGGGTGCTGGGAAATGAACTTGGGTTCTCTGGAATAGCAGTAAGCACTCTTAACCACTGAGCTATCTTTCCAGCCACCCTAACTAATCTTAATAAAAGAAATGTTTTCTATGCCTTAGCTATCCAAATTAAGCAATTTATTAAAATCTAATATTTTGTATACTCATACTAATTCTTTTGTTTTCATTTTTGTTGTTTGTTATCTTTAGTTTCATTTTTTGAGACAGTTCCCCTGTAGCCCTCACTGACTTGGAACTTGCTAAGTAAACAAGGCTGGCCTGGATCTCACAGAGATCCACCTGCCTCTGTCTTCTTAGTCCTGGAATTAAAAGGTGTGCATCACTATGTCTGGCTCATATTTATACTAATTCTTGATAAAGACAATGCAGAAAAAGTTTTGAGCATCAATTTATAATCATTTATTATATTCTATTAATCCAATTATAATGTAAAAATGTACTTTTTAGTATATACTCACTTCATGAACAAGTTCACCAATGTATGGCCTAAAGTCATCTCTGGGTCCTTTGTGCTTATGAACACCTTCCTGTGAAAACTAGAAGGCAAGGTTCTACAAGCTACAGACAATCTGAGCGAGAACCAACCCTTCTCAAAATCATTACTCAGTGAATGATAATAAGAAATTTCAGGAACAAAGCTCTTTTGTGCAATTATATATATATGGTATTTGGAAGATTCTGTCTGACAAAGCAAAAAGATACTGAAGGGCTGGCTGTCTTACAATGAGGATTACCAGGGAGGATCCTTAGTTTAATGATTTTCCAATGTTATACTTGGTGCTGGTTTTAGCCTTCTTGCCCTCTTGTTCAAAATGGCTTGTTGGAACTTTTTGGTTGAAAGCAAAAGCAATAATCTAATACTTTGAGCTTTTTCTTTGGGTCCTTTTTCTTTTCTCAAATACTAATGCTGTAACTGATGAAAGGGCTAACCTTTCATCTGGCTGCTCCTCCAGGAGGCACAGCCACACCCTGAGATTTACCACTACTTCTGTTCTTTGAAAAACTGCTGTTGTGTGAAGTGCCCAGGGTATTAGCCCCTCCTTCCTCTAAGATATCCATACCCTAGTCCTTGGAATCTATTTTATGTTCCATAGCCCTTCCATTGAGAATCAAGGGTGTCATTGGAATTCAAACTGCCAACATTGCAATTGCCTTTAAAGTGGCGAGATTAGCCTAGATTATCCAAGAAGGCTAATCCAGTCACCTAAATCCTTAGACGCTCCACAGGGATGAAAGGAAGGTGAGAGTGGATTGATGTGAGGACCCAGTTCAGCCTTTGCAGATAAAGGTGGCTGTGAGTGTAGGAATGTGCATAGCCTTAGAGGCTGGGCAAGGCTAGGAAATGAACGCTCCCACCCAGGCTGTCTGAAGGAATGCAGCTTGCCAACAGCTGATTTCCCCTCAATGAGAATCATTTTGGACTTTTGACGCCCCCCACACACACTAAGATGAATGGGTGATGTTTTACACTGCTTAATCTGTGTTTGCACAGAGCCATACACAACATGGTGAACTTTAAATTCTTCATGGCTAAAGATTTGGTCATTTTTAACAAGGGCAACTGAACTAATTAAGGCAAATTTAGCATACTTATAAATGACTGTACTCCCTAAATTTACATATTATGCTTGCTCCAAAAGATTACTGGTGGTGATGCATGGTTAACATTTTCTTTATCAAGTTAATAAAGTATTTGTATTCTAGTTACATGTAAAAGTATTGAAACTTTTTTTGGGTGAAATCAATTACATTCTTTGATGGATTTTTTTCTTTAAGGCAGCACATCCAAGGTTTTGGATTTAAATTAGAGCTCTACTACTCAGTTATGGCTATTTGCAAAAATTAACCTCTTAACGTTGTTTTGTTTTCTGTAAAATGAAAAGTACACACACACACACACATATACACACAGAGGGATCTATCTATCTATCTATCTATCTATCTATCTATCTATCTATCTATCTATCTATCTATCTATCTATCTATCTATCTATCTATCTATCTATCTATCTATCTATCTATCTATCTATCTATCTATCTCTATCTATCATCATCTATCTACCTACCTACCTACACTCATACTACAGGATCTATATACTAGCTCCATGGAAGACATTGAATGAGATAAGTTATGTAAAGTTCCAGCACAGACCTAGTATATAATAAATGAAACTATCACTTAATGGCGTCAGTTCTTTGGACGTTCTGGTCAGTGCTTTGCCGTTCTGATTTCACAGACTTCCCCAACCAAATAGTAGAGCTTTCAAACCTCACCGGGAGTTGACAGTCTTTAAATTTAGTGACCTACACTTTTTCTTTCAATTCTGTTTTCTAAAGACGCTGGAGTAAACTATTTTCAAAACAGCACATCCCTTAGTAATACTTAACCTTGAGTCAGTAATTTCTTCAATCGTAAAGATACATTCACTTAAGTAATTGATGAGAAAAAAAAAAAAAAGAGTGGATAAGGTTATGGCTAAACTACAGATCCTAAAAAACTTTTTGTTTCCCATTTCCTCAAGGCGGGACTAGGTAAAGTCTTTGCTTGGAAGCAGGTGAAATCTCCCCCACCCAACTTCATTATAAAAGACTTGACTCTAGCTTCTGGTACCACAGGGTGCATCGCCAGTCCCCGGGTGGTGTCAGGTGAGTCTAGGGAGCCTGCGGCGGAGCAGGGACACCGCGCCAAGCCCTTTTGCGCCAGTGGCTGCAGGTTGCTAAGCTTCCCCGGAGGCGCCGGGTGCCCGCGTGGCCTCCCGTCGGTGCCCTCCAGGCTGGGGACGCTCGGGGTCCGACCCGTCCAACTTCTGGGAGGCTCTGCGCCCTCCGGTGCTCTGGGTCTCCCCTCCTCGCCCCTGCGCGCGCCTGGCCTCCCCGGGGCTCCGGAAGGGAAGGAGGCGTGTCCGGAGCCGGCGGGAGGGCGAGGTATAAAAGCGCTGGTGGCGCGGCAGCCGGAGCTTCACTCGCCAAGCACTGCACCAGGAGCGACGCGGGAGAGCACCGGCGGGGACCCACAGGGCGCTGCGCTCGGGCTACCCAATGCTGGAACTATCTGCCGCCGCTGCCCGTGCAATATGCTGGAGCTCCAGAACAGCTAAACGGAGTCGCCACACTGCTGCCTGGGCTGGATCGCAGCGCTGCCTTTCCTTATGAAGAAGACACAAGTGAGTGGGGCACGCCCGGGAGGAGCCCGGAGGCATTCCAGGAAAATCGCGGCTGCAGCCCCGGGGAGGCCGGCGCGCCCTGGGACCCGCAGCCCCGCCATGCCGGGCTGCGGCTTGTCCCGGGAGCCTGGAGGGTGCGGGGGAGGCAGGCGTGGTGTGCGAGCCGGAGCCGCTTAGCCGGTGCCGGGGAGAAGGGGAGCGCGAGGGATGCGAGGGAGCCTATGGCAAGTTTGCAGCCGCAGCACGGAAGTTTGGAGCTGTCAGTCGGAAACCGCATTTCCCAGCCGATGTGAGGGTCGGCTCTTTGGCTTCGGAGTTCCAGTTATCCCCGGAAAGGCATGTCTTTGCAAGGGAGAGATTTCCCCGTGGATGCAGGGCTATTATGAAACAGCTTCCCACGCGCCACCCTCGCTCGCTCTCGCAGCCAGATTTATTTGTGCAGTCCCCAGGTGGGAGCTGGACGCGGCGCGGACGCGGGTGCAGCCGCTGGAGCCAAGCCAGGCCGGAGCTCGGAAGGGGCCGAGCTCGGCGGGTGCAGAACCTGCTCGGCAGGCCCGGGAAACTTGGCTCCCCGCGACGTCTGCCCGGTTCGCAGCTCTGGGTGGGCCCTCCAGAAAGCTCTAGATGGAGTAGTTGTACTTCCACAATGCGTGCACCTTCTAAGACACAAAAAAGAAAAAGTTTTTTTTTAAAAATGTGCACCTCTAATGATAGTTATTGAGATAATGCCCACTGTGGCTAAACATCGCTTTATGCAGAAAGCATTGCCTGCGGGCACAGTTAAATTTTTTTTTTTTTTTCCTTAGTTGAAGCAAATGTCTCCCTGGTTGGTAAAAAAGAGCTACCGCGTTTCCCCTCGGAGGTGCTTTTCAGCCCCGGCAGTTGCTACTTCGCGGTTCTTCCTTTCAGAATTGTTCTGTTATTTGCCGCGGGTTGGGTAAGGCTGCCCTTTCACCCGCCAGAGGTCCTGTGGATGATTGCAATTTCTGAAATGTAGAAGAGGAAATTCGAGAATTTGTACAAATCATCGGCTTTGTTGAAGGCATCAGTGTGCTGCAAATAATTGAAATGACTCCCTATTGGCGTCTTATTTTAAGTAGATGTCTAGGCTTGGAGGTGGACCCATTAGGAAGCTGCAAGAAGAAAGCTGCTTTCCACAGAGTGGGAAGGGGTGGGGGAAGGGACCATGTCTGGCCGAGGAGTTGTTCTCCCTAGAGCACTCTCCCAGAACCTGTAAGATTAGAGAAATGAATGCAGGTGTACTAGCTTGCAGGCAGTTTTTGTTTGTTTGTTTGTGTGTTTTTTGTTTTTGTTTTTTTCCTTTTCTTTCTTTTTAAGCTAAGGCTCTGCACCACACCTTAGGTCACTACTGTGTCCTCCTGAGATGTAGATGTTAAAGATTCTTGCAACAAAGAAAAGTTTTGTCGTGATAGCTTGGTGTGTGTATGCCTTCTGTTTTGTGGAATAATAAACAAGGGTGGGGAACCTGTTTCTTTTTATAGTAGCATCTGCCTGCATGAATAGTTTTGGGTGGAGGAATCTCTAGTTCAGGAAGAGAACCCAAACCTTATTTAAACAAAAAATCAGGAGACAGACAAGGTTAATGTCCGGTGCTCTGAAGCCCTGCTATGTGCTATCAAGTCACTTTGAGAGGCAGTAGGATTGATGATCCTTGCACCCACTTTGCAAAACAAATATGAGCTCTGTAATCTCCTTTCTCGCTTTGATTAAATGACTGTGTAAATAGGATTACATGGAATAATTCCATTGAAAACTAGAAAGAGGTCAATCTAGCCTGCAACACTGTGGCAATGACATTAGTGACTCAGTGCTGCCAACCAGAGACATTTGAGACAGCTAAATATTTTAGAAATGTGACCTGTTCAGACCAAGTTAAAGTGCAGGCCCTTTGAGGGAAACTTGTGGTGATAAAGGATTTGTAGGCAAAAGAGGGCAGCGCTCTTGTTGAAAGAAAGCATTCATTGCCTGGAATCTAATGACCTTCAAGGTTTCTTTTAAGGATACTTCTAGCAATTCACATTCTTGTTACTGAAAAAGAAGACACTGGAAATAACACAAAATCAATAAATAATCCATGGCAATGAAGGAAAGGATTAGATTCTTTTTTTCTGGTGGTCAAATCTTCTAATCCAAAAGTCGCAAGGAAATTTCTGTGCTGCCTTGCATGAGTAGGGCATAGCATAAGGAAACCAGATGCTAAGGAGGATCCAGCCATGTTTTTAATATGATGCTATCTTTTGGAGGAAAACTTATTGTTATTAAATAGTTTAAATAGTCTGCTATAAACATAGGATCAATACTACCTTCCATTATAGACCACCTAGCCCAGTATTTTCTCATTACCCAATCTATTAAAAAGAATTTTGCAAAAACATTTTTTAAAGGACATCAATTTAAATTACACAACTGTGCAAGAATCATGAGGACACCAGACATTTTGGACTCTCAACAAGCTAAATAAGTGTGAAAACTCCGTCAACAACCACTTGGGGCTTGATGAATGATTCTTTGATTTACTTAACAGAAGTGATGGGCTTCAGTATTTGGAAAACAATTACACAAGCAGCGGTCTTGCAGAGCAATTGGGTCAATAAATTATGTCATGTCTTCAATGAAGAATGTCTCTTGTATTTTTCAGATTTCCTTTGGTAGTTTATCCATATTGTGTGAGTTGATAACATTTCAAGAAAATTGTGGCTCTAGCTTAGAAAGAATATCTCTTTCAATGGAGAGCTATTTTTTACAAATCTAGTACTCCAATATATTAAATTATAATTGAGATGCCATATTTCAACACCAGTGAAGTTTTAATTAAAAATGTGGTCAGCTTAATGTGCTCAGTGCTCATATTATTCATGGTATGCTTATGTTTTAGTTTGTCTACAGGTTACCAGAGACAATTGCTGTCGGTTTCAGAAATACTGAGAGAGTAAAGCACTATCTTGCAAACAATGTTACAAAGATCTATTTTAGGAACATTGAAGCCTTCAGGGAAGAAATGAATAGAATTGTAGCTTTCACTATTCTAGAGAAAATATCTCCCCCCCCTTCTCTCTTTTTGCCTATATGAAATATTTGTTGTGTGGGTGACAATGGAAGTTACAATCTAGAAAAAAATTAACATATTTGTGAAAAGAGCATTTGAAAATCTTGTTCTTGCAATCATTCAATTTGCAATGTGTGCTTGGAATAGTTCTAATTTATGTAGCTTTTAATTGATACATTCTGCCAAGACTTTAAAACTCAAGTGCTAAGTCGATTACATTTAACATAAAACAAGGAAAATAACCATATGGAAATCTGAAAGTCTGTGCCAAACCAATTAAAATTGCTAAATTTTATTTATGTCTAACTGCTGATTTGAAGATAACAAATTGTGAGTCAACGTTTGTTCTTTAATGATAGGTGGTTGAAATCTTATCACCACCTTAAATAACAAAAAATCCCTGCCAAAATAGCTAGTCTTTCAGCTTTGGGAGTTCCTTTCATGTTCCTTTCCTTTCCGCTTTAGTGGGAAGACTCTGGGCTCTAGCCTGTAAAGACTTTAGGCTCCAGTTCCTGTTTTACCACTTGTGAGACAAATGACCATAGGCAAATGGTTAAATATTTTAGGATTTCCGTTTTGTAATCTATGTGATGTTTGTTAAATAGTTATGAAGATTTTTCTCAGTTGGTGGCTGTAAGGACTGAAGGAGATAAACATTTCTGGTCCCAGTGCATTGTAGTTACAATATGAGTTTATTGTTCCTCAGAAGAAACTTATCTTCCCAATAACTTTTACAAGCCAGTGGAAAATGGCATTTAAGTAGAAAAGCAGAGGTCAAGGTTTCCAAATCTGGATCCTTTAATTCAATGCCCGACTTTCATTATAAGCTGATATCTGGTCATCAGTTGTCATTAATACATAACAAATCAGGACTGTGCAAAAACAAAGGTGGGAAGCTCTTTAAAGGTTAAGGTGAATGAGAGATTTGGACCAGGAAGCAACAGCAAATGGAAGTGACTCTGACTTAGTGTCCCGTTTCTACACCTTGCCTTCCAAGTTCATCCTGTGTGGCTCTGAGGGCTTGTTCTGCTTTAGACTGAAAAGGGCTGGTGAGCTTTCTTTACTGGTCTTGCCCTTGGTCCTCTCAGTGAGCCCATGCATCCATTTCTGCAGGGTGTTTTTGTTGTCTTAACCAGGCAACATTCAGTGATACCTCCCCCAACCCCCACTATCTAGGTATCCAGGTTTTGGACTGTTCCCTCCACTCCCCGCCCCCGCACCCCCAGTTACCTTAATGCTCCTTTTGTAAATTATGGTAGGACACTAGGATATAAATCTCTGAGTAGTGATCTTATTTTTTTTTTTTCTCCCTTTTCTAGTATATGAATCATAAGAAGCTGCAGGAATTGTGCTATGGGTCTTAGTCACCTGTGTAGTCAGAACCATTTATGAAACGAATTGAGAGAATACTGAGATGCTTTTATAATACATGCTGCTTTCAGGGCTGGTTTGTACAGCCTCTGTTTCGTGAGAACCATTGACTCCAGCCTTGCTGATTTAAAGATGCAGTAAGATGTTTTGCTTTTTCACTTAATTATGGGCATTCTAAAAACTGTTTACAGGGGCTGGGAGTGGGCATTATCATTACCCAATCCCTACCTATTTTTGTGTATTCAGTAAAAAAGCTGAGGGTGTTTTTCTTATAATTAGGCTTCCTGATCTCTTTTCAAAAGCATGATGTGTGTCATCTGAGAGAAGGCTGTTCTATATGTTGCTCTTTGTGTCCTTTGGCTACATTGTACTGTTTTTGTTTTGTTTTTTGTTTTTTAGTCTGTCACATTGACTTGGTTATCAGGAGACTAAGTGCTTTTATTAACCTAAATACTGAGTTGTGTGACTTTGGAAAATTATTTGGATTTTCCCAAATCTGTTCCCTCAGTTGAAAGATGAGGAAGTAGGACTAGGTTATTTCTAAGAGCCTCCCATTCTAAAC